TTTCACAACACCAGTGTCTCCAATAATGTAGTCCAAGGCAGTGTAACAGCCTTGTTGGATACGTTCAGCTTCCAAAAGCAGAGGAAACCCAGCTCTGCTTTCTACAACATTTCTTCTTGCATTTAGCAGAAGACGTTCACAATTGTAGCCACATTTGTCATCCAAAAGAAAACTGAAAACTAAAAATGAATAACCAGTCAGTAATAGAATTATAGTTTCAGAAAATATTCTAAAGAATATGGTAATAAACATTTCCCTCCCCCCCTCCCCCCAATTTCTAGATTACCCAATTCTATCACTCTGGGAGGCTTAACATGTATAAACAATAAAATCAAAATAAAATCCAGAAAACTGTTATTTAGAGGGAACAAAAGTTCTAAAGAATATAGATAATCTTCAGTTACAGCCATTCATTCAGTGGTCTCGGGAAGTTATTTTAATGCTGAAAAGTCTTACAATTGGTCCTCAAGGTTCCGGCTGTTGCAGAACAAAATTCTAGTATCTGGCAACCAGCTCAAAGTTATGATGAGATGCAACATCCCACAGTCACATGATTATCATCTGTGTCCTTCCCTGCTGGCTTTCCCCAAGCAAAGTAAGTGGGAAGCTGGCAAGGAAAGTCACAAGTTGCTGGGGTAAGTCTTCCCTCCACCTTTCTTCATTTGCATGAATGTATCACATCCTCCATTCACACCCACCTTCTGCTCTTTTTAGATGGCCTCCCTACACCTACATGCACCCCAAGCCTTCTTTTCACAGCTTACCTAGAATAACACACATTCTGCACCGTCTTTTCATGACCTTCCTGCTATGCACGCACAATGCACACACCCACATCATTTTCCTTTTTCCTTGGTCTCTCTGCAATTGCATACATACCCAAACCCTCTTTCTCAGCACTCATACACATTTATATGTACTCCACACTCACTTTCCCTGGCCTCCCTGCACTCTCCACACATACATTTCATACACTCTTTCCCCAGCACTTGCGTACATGCATACATACATGCTTCATCTTTCCCCGCCTGAGTTCATGCCGCACCAAACACCCCTCCCTCACTTCTCTGCAATCTGTGTCAGTCCACCCAAGGTTTCCCTCACCCCTTTGCAGCACCCCTGCATTCCTTACCTCCTCGGTTTCCTGCTTAACTACTTGTGCATCTTAAGTTACGATGACAACCAGGACTACCTAGATTGCTGTCGCTAAGCTATGCAGTGATGTTACACTTTATGACTACATTGTTTAGTAATGGCAATCACGGTCCAATTGCAGTTGTAATTTGTGGGCTTGCGATAGATAGATAGATNCATTTCCAGGTCCTCCTTAAAAGAGCTAATCGATGGGCTTTCAAATTAATACATGCCGTGTGTGTCTGTGTGTGGATAGACAGGCAGACAGACAGACAGACAGACATACACACACACACACACACACACACACACACACAGCAGGGTGAATATCACACAACAGTTCCTGAATTATTGGCCCATCACCAGTACCATGAGATGGTATCCATTTTATTTGTTTGTTTGTTCATCAAATGTACCTAGCCACTCATCTCACAAGGACTTTAAGTGGCATACAATCTATCCTGACTCTGTTTCTTTCACCTGAACAGACTGAAAAGCTTTATGAATTTAGAGGAATTTATTTCTAATCAGACAAAAATGAACTGATCCTTAAAGAAGAGGAGAGAAAAAACAGAAAAAAATAGGGTAAATATTTTTCCACTTAGCCAAAAGTAAAAACATGAAGACACAAAGGGGAAAACTCTTATAAGATATAAAATACTCATCTTAAAATTGACTGAAAAGTTTTATAAAGCATTTTACTCATTCAAAATGTGTAATTAGACTTTTAATGTAAGGCAATGTATTTATCAGATTCTAATACTTGGTACGTATTACCTACAGTATTTGTCTAAGAAATCTCGGTATTGACTGCAAAATTTGTGTTCAATTCTCTTTCCACTCCAGATTGTAAAACTTAAAATACTTGTTTTAACCAGATAAAAAACAACAATCCTCTAATATTGGGTAGGACTATATTTCTAATTTGCTTAGGCAAAGCTGAATTTTTTTACCCATGAAACCACATTGAGATACATGCTTACTCTGATAAAAATTCCACCAGTGGTTCTTCTTAATAAACACATGCAATTGGTATATGCAGAACCCTTGGGAAGAGCCAGAGGAGTGAAATGATGTAGATCCTGGACCAGCCATGGAGCTCAGTGTGTGACTGTGAGTCTCCTTCTCTCAATCCAGCCTGCCTGATATGACGCATCTTATGGGAACAAAGAGAGGATCCCTTCCCCCAGCCTATATGTTGCCTTAAGTTCCTACAGAAAAAGTAGACAGTGTGAATATTAATTTTAAAAATACTCTGCAAATATCAGAATATGCCAATTAGTACAAATGTACAGCATATGATGGATAAATGAGTCATTGCTGAAAGAGCAAAATAAGGTTTAATAGGAAAATAGTTCTATATCTGTGTCTCTCTTTCCTGCCCCAGACAGGTTCTATTAGTCCCACCTATTATATCACCTTCTTTCCTTCTATTCTGGATTGAGCCCATTAAATGACTGGTATGAGGATGTGTTGTTGCCATGGGTTGGGGGTGGTGTTATTATTTTTTAAAATGTTTATATATTTTTTATTTCCTGTAAGCCTTCTTGGATTGCAAGAGCGAGTGGGCAGCAATATAAAATTTCCAAATAAATAAAACAAATAATAAATATTCTGAACAGCAGAATATTGCAGGAAGAAGCTCTAATAGTGAAACATAGCATTCCTTTAACAGACTAATAGCTATAGGATTATATTCAGAACTCTTTGAAGCTTGCTTCCTTTGCCTGTGGATTGAGTTGGCCATTAATCTATCCTAAAGAATTGCACTTCTGTATGTAAAAAGTTTTGAATGACATCTGGATTACCGGTATAGGTGTTGCAGTTATCTGATCATCAACCAGTTTTTTAAAAGTCAAATTAGTAATGAGCAGTGTTGGGAAACTCATCAGTATGAGATTAGAAAAATTTCAGCATGGAATAACTATACTGTACTGGACATGTTTACATAGGGTTGTTTTGTATTACACTAACATACTCCATTACAATAATTCAGCATAGTCAATTGCTGCTTGATTAGTCCTTTGATCAGAGTACAGAGAAAATTCAAATTACACAGGTCAGGCCTAAGCATTCACATTTATAGCTTACCTTCTTAAGTGGTTACAACTTGGACAGCCATCTGAATTTCTTCCACGGATGTTTCCTATTTAAAAAAATCTTAATAAAGTCTCTTTACTCATAACACGGAAAAGAAGGAGACAATAAGGAAACATTACATCACCCATGTATATCCAGGATAATCTTCTCATAACAAGGGCTTTTGATCTATAGACAGATATGCTATGATGCACCATTAAGACTGCCTGTCATCTGATTTTTCAGGTCAAGATCCCAAGACAAGATGATTTTGGAAGGATCCACACAACGCAACAGTTAGGCAGTCCCTGGAGTTAAGAACATCCAACAATATGATTAGGCTGTCTATTATTAAAAAGTAGAGGACGGTGTACTTCTTTCTCAAGCCGCTGAAGTGCTGAAGCAATGCAATGCTTGCAGGAACCACTGAAGCAGTGTGTTTTTAATATACAGCCTGTTTTCAGTGGTTCCTGAAAATGTTATGTTGTTTCTGCATCTCATTGACTATAGCAGGGGTGGCAAACTCAAGGCCCGCAGGCTGGATGCATCACTGACTGGCTATGCCCACCCGTTTTAACAAAGGGGGGGGAGAAGGGATACATCACATGACATGCCACACCCTGGTCTAGAGGAAGAATAATGCCATCTGCCATTTTTAGTAGTAGGCAGTTCACTTGCAAGAACAAATTCCAACTTAAATACAAATTTGGGTTAAAGGCAGTTAGAGAACAGAATTCATTCTTAACCAAGGGACTGTCCACATTCTCCACTCAACATTTGGAGGCCACCACCAATAGTTCATGGCAAGAGTGACTCAGAATGACAGAAGCTACCCTGAAATTTCAGTCATTATCTGCTCTATAAGGGTAAAGGGGCTTAGATATATCTAAGTAGATGTGAAGAATTAAGGGCAGATACAGTAACAATAAACTATCACTGTTTTGGTGGTACCAGTGCCTCAGATAGATCCATATAGAGAGTGGCAAGGACAGCTGAGATTATACGAAGCTTGTTTCCCGTTAAAGTCAGGATACTGCTTATAAGAGCTATGTGCTTAGAGCTCAAAGCAGTTAGAGACCCCACACACTCACTTCAAGGTCTGTTTCTGTTGCTCCCCTCTGGGAGGAGAGGTTTTGAAGTATTTCTATCAGGACTTCCAGATTCTGTAACAGCTTTATTCTGTATGCCATCTGTCTTGTAAATTTGCAGGATTCTTTTTTCCCACCTGTATATGTACACATTCGAACTAGACTGATGTTTCTGTGTTATATATGACTTGGATGACAGAGTCTGATGTGGATGAACTTGACTGGCCTGCACAGGGTCCTGACCTCAACCCGATAGACCACCTTTGGGATGAATTAAAGCGGAGACTGAGAGCCAGGCCTTCTTGTCCAACATCAGTGTGTGACCTCACAAATGCGCTTCTGAAGAATGGTCACAAATTCCCATAAACACACTCTTAAACCTTGTGGACAGCCTTCCCAGAAGAGTTGAAGCTGTTATAGCGGCAAAGGGTAGACCGACTTCATGTTGAACTCTATGGATTAGGAATGGGATGTTACAGTAAGTTCATATGCTAATAAAGGTAGGTGAGCGAATACTTTTGGCAATATAGTGTATATACCGGTGCAAAACAAAACACAATTTAACCAAAATTTTAATTTTATAAAATGACTATAGTTTTGAAATGAATTCCTGCCTCATAAGAGCATCAATTTTCTCAAACTAGTAACATAGTAATCAGGTAGTATAAGAAGAAAGACATTTTATTTGTTATTTTTATTAGAAAAAAAACAGAAAATCTTCAGAAATGATACATTTCCACTTCACAATATCTTCAAAACAAGGCCTTTTGAATTGTTATTAAAGCTTCAAAAATTATTTTGTAAAAAAACAATCTCCATGATGTATCTTTTTGCCTAGAGTTCACAAATTACAGAGTGGTTACCAACTTTGTTAGTTATAGCAGCTATATTGTGAGTAATCCACATAAGGTTTAGCTTAGTATATGTAAAGTGCAGAAAATAAAATTGTTTATTTTTTATCCCCCCATTTTTGTTCACCGCATGGCTAGGTGTTTCCCTGGTCCCTTAAACTAAAGAAAAGCACCACTTTTTGCATTCAGGAGGCCCTGAACATTCTACTATTTCCCAGCTCAAATTATTATTTTTAATTCAAACAATAGAGTACGTAAAGGCAGAAAAAATGTTCCAATCCATTGGGTAGATTAAATTGATGGTATTAATTAAACTGACATTAGGCAGAATACCACTTCACTGTAAATAAATAATTATCACATAATAAATAAAAAAGCTTAAATTAATCATTTGGGTTATTATTTGACTCAGAATGACTAGTGCTTACCAGATCTTGTGTAACTACTGCATAGTTGATATTTTTTGAAACAGTATTTAACACATAAAGTGGACTACACATATCTACTTATGTAAAACAAATTAAAAACCCTATATGACCTGAAGTGCAAAGCTTCACAAACATGAAGCAATTTTTTTACACACTTAAGATGATTATGGAGCTTTAGACAATTTTGTATGGATTGCTTTTTAGCTAAGAAGTTTGGACTGATGATACCTTAAGGTAAAAGTGTTTCAAACTTAATTTATCAGTGCTTTTATTCTAAACACACTGACCGCCTTAATTTTATGAAGAATTAAATGTGCCAAAACCCTTTTTTAAAGAAAAATATAAAATGCAAATTGTGTCTGCATTTCATCCCCCCCCACACACACACAAGTCACATACACAGAGGTTTTAACACCAAGGTTTGATGAAAAATTGCACTTATTTAAACATAAATTAAATACAGCATATAGGAGATAACCTAAAATACTGAAAACACACATAAGAACCTGCATTTAATCACCATTGCAATTGCACCAGGTTTAAAAATCAATAATATGAATCACAATAAATCTGTGTGAGACACAGTAACTGTCATTCATTATCCATCTCCTAAATGCTACCAATTTGCTCATAGCTTGGATTCACAAAGCACTTTGCTCTAATGCAAAGACAGTTTCTGATACACATTTGACCACTCAGGATAGTCAAAATTAGCTCCTTCTGAAGTGAACAAATCTATAATTACTAAAAAGAAGAGCCTACTTCCATTTGTTTAAAAATGGAATGTAAATGGAGGCAATGTCAGAAATAAGGATTTAAACTTAAACAGACTGGCAGGTTTCCAGTTTATCAAAGGCAATCAGGGTGCTAATCTGAGTATCCAAGGTCACTATAAGACAAAAAACAACAGTTCAAAGAGGTCTTCAGGTAGAGTTTTCTGGACACTAGACATTTAGTAGAGTTGCTTTTTTCTGCAATTAAAAAACAAAAGAAAAACAGACTCAAAAGCAGGGGGTGCAGCAGATGCACTTGGAGTTATGTTGTAATTAAGACACAAAGCTAAAGGTGGGTCCTTGGGTATTAAATGTCTTCATCCTGATATTGCAGGTATTTTGCTGCAATCGTTTCTTCTAGATGAATTCCTGAGCTCCCCATTAATGCAAAAGCTGGATACATTTTACCAGAGCATTCCACTGGGCGTTCGTAAATACACTTCATCCGATCTGCATCATAGAATCCAATGCTGCCTTTGTCACAGTCAAGGCAGATTCCGATGTTTGATGGCATGGGAAGAACTCTGTTCACACAATCTTTGGGAGCAGCTGAAGCAGATGATGCTTTAGGAATAAACATTTTTTTCATGCCTATAGTTATTAATGTGAAAGGCTGCAAGGACTCAGCAAAGATGTCTTCACTCCCACTGTCATGACCACTGTCTTGTTCGTATCTGAAAAAGGAATACTAGTCATGCCACAATACTTTTCAGTTGTCAGTGATTTTTTCAGACTTCAGCATAATGTTCACACATTGTACATATTAAAAATATTGTACTGTACAATATCACAATGTGCTTGTAGGAGAGAATGATAAATAAAGGTAAGTTGTGTTCGCTTTATTAAATATCTTTTGCAATACTCTCGGAAGGATTCTAACATTAGGACATTTAACTGATCAAAATTCTCTTTCCAGATGAATTGCAATACAATCAAGTTGGGGACTCAATCTGGCTGCAACACTATTTCAATGTAACCTTGTGAGAAGCGGGGGGGGGGAATCCTGTAATAAGAAGCAATCCATCCCCATCCAGTGCTTATCTCAGCTAGTGTGTGCCATCAGGAATACAAGCAATC